CACATCTTCAACGGCATATGCTATCTCTTGAGTTTTCAATCTTAGCCATAGAATCTATATGCTGAATATCTCTACCCAAATTGTTGAATTTCTCATCTAGATTTTGAATTCTTTACTTCATTCTTCTGTTTATTTGAGTGATCTTTGAAGTTGTTGATTATTTAAACAAAACAAAACAAAGCCCTAAGCTTTTGAATTATTTGGTAGTTTGGCCATTTCAGTTTTTCTGAGAATTGCTAACTTTTGGACAAATCGTGCTGCATTGCACTTTTGGCCAATGCATGTTTCTAGCTACAGCTTCTGTGTGTGCTGGGATGGTATCCTTTCTGGTTTTATGATCAAGTCTTCTGGGTGGCCAGCTTTCTTTTGAGGGCTCTGCCACCCAGAGAGTAAAACAAACTGCTGTTAGAATACCAGCAAAATAAATGACATAGACAAACCAACTAAAGTCAAGAACTATACTAACAAGAACTTTAGGGGAAAAATAGTATCAAATAAAGTATGAAGTTCAACAATTCATGATGGTTAAAGAAATAACAGTGAAAGAGAATCCAATTAAGGAGCTGGGAGGGAAGGAGAAAAGCAAGAAACAAGGTTAAATAAAAGAAGAGGAAAAAGATGTAGCTCTGAGTTCTGCACTAGAAGGAACCAACTCTGCTTGTGCATCTTAGCTCTTTCAAGCCTGGTAACAGGAAGTGGGTGCTCTGGTAAGCCAGGCTTCAGAATAAGGTAGTACCTCAGATCCTTGTCCCCACAGGAATCCTCAGGCAATAGGACCCTCACCACAGAACTAACTACATCTGCAATTCTCAAAATAAACAATCTCAGAAATGCTCAGTAGAAACCAAGCTTCTTAGTGTGATGTAGACCATGTCAGCATTTACGTAAATTGCTTCCTTTGCCCCTGAAACAATGTTACCAATAGAAAGCAAAATCTCTACCACTTACAACCCAGACCCTAGGCAAGTTATTTAGTCTATCTTTGCCTCAGTCTTTTAACCTTGGAGGCTAGGGCAATGGGAAACTGTCCCTCCACAGCCTTGGCTCCCACTTGGAATTGTTCCATGTTCACAGATCCTCTATTGCTCACTGTCAGGATGGTGCCTTCTGCAGCACTGAGATGCTGAGAAATTCTGTGAGTTTCTACTCCTGTCGTAGAGGAGTGACTGTTAACCTAAACCAACACTGGACTTTAGGCTTGAGGGAAGTGGGTGATCCTCCTGAAGCCAGTCCTGCTGGTTTCTTAGCACCAGGGTCCTCTGCTTTACCTGAAATGCAGCTTCAGAAGCGCCCTCACACTCCACACCTGGCCTGAGCTGCTGCTTCTCAACTTTTTTTTTCTGCAATCCCCTTCTATTTCTCTCTGCCTTTTAGAGGTTCTTTCACCACGTTTTCAATTCCCAGTACTCTTCCTCTGAAATACAGTCTTTGCTTTTGACCTACTGATTCATGGAGTCTCAAGATGGAGACTTCTAATCTGCTGTCTTCTAGAAGCCTAAGAGATATATTTGATTTAGCCATTTTGAAAGAAGTCATTGATACCTCATATATAATAAAACCTCATATATCCCTTCATGCTCGTTCATTTTTGTTCTCTCTTTTGTCTCTCTCTGTCTCTGTCTCTCTGTCTCTCTCTTTCTCTCTGTCTCTCTCTCTCTCTCTCTCTCTCTCTCTCTCTCTCTCTCTCTCTCTCTCTCTTTCCTCCTCTCTTTCCCCCTCTCCTCATCCCTCTCCCTCTCCTTCCCTCCTCCCTCTCATTTCATACTGAGGATTAAACATAGAGCCCTGAGACCTTACACGTTCTAGGCAAGCCCTCTCCTGGCCTCCATCCCAGTCTCTATCCTTTGCATAAAATACTGCCCATTTGATGTGTCATAACAAACATGTATATCAAGACAAAGACATTTTAGCATTATTGCTTTTATTTTAAATGATGAAACTATATGACATATATACATATCATATATGTAAATATTCCTACACAGTATGACAACAATAGCTCACATACTGTTTTAGACTGCTCTTGGTCTTAAGCACCTTTATAGATATTAACTGTTTTCTCCCAGATGAGAAGACTGAGAGAAAGATAGAATAAATAACTTGCTGGGGGGTGGAGTTGTGAGTGGTGGAACTCTTGCGTTTCATTGCTAACTTTGCTTTGAAGACAAAGGAAAGAAAGCAATGTGCATGAGTGCTGGCGTGATTTACTTCACACCAAGAAGCTTGGTTTGCCCTGAACATTCTTGAGACTCTGTTTATTTGGAGAAATGCAGATGTAGTTAATTCTCTGAAGCCAGTCTACTTGATGCTTTCTGTCGTATCCCTGCTCATTCTTTCGTTGGTGGGTCGTTGCTTTTGTTTCTCTGAATTCTCTTGTTAACAGGGATGTGCTGCAGCAGACATCCCACGTTCTTTGTCCTTTCCTCCAATGTCTCCAGATCTCTCTGAAAGTTCAAAAAAGGATCATAAGGCTCAGGAGGAAAGAAAAATCTATATTTTCAACATTTCCAGATATTGACAAATTCTCCCCTTAAGTATTTATGTCTCACTTCTTAGTTTATGCCCCTGTTTGTGAAAGATTACATAAACACATGGACATTAGTCTGACCACCTCCAAGATAGAGTTTTGATCCATAATGTGTAGCGACTTGCAGAAGAAAACTAACTCTACTATACACTGAGCCATGCAGGAGGCCGGCCCATTCCGTCAGCCTTTCTATTTTTCTCAGTAACTTCAATAAGAATCAGATCAAAATGGTCAGGATTTTAAACAGTTTGCACTCTTCCTTATGACCCAACTACCAGTTTTGCCAGAGAGAGAAAGAAAGAGAGAAAGAGAGAGAGAGAGAGAGAGAGAGAGAGAGAGAGAGAGAGAGAGAGACCCCCAGTGTGCACACCTCAGTACTAAGTACTTGCTTGGCATGTGCATCTGTCTGTTCAGCCAGCCACAGCTTCCATGTACCAGAGGCCTCCATCAGACTACTGTGAAATGGTCCCATTTTCTGCTGAGTTGCTTCCCCCCCATTCTTCTGACTGCTTTTGAGTCACAGGCAACTGTGACTGACTCTTTTATTATAGAATGCTTTGATTAAATAATCTTCATTTTTCTCATGTGGCTGATCTTCATTTATTTCTTCAGCAAGTATTCATAGTTTCTGTCAGGCCCTGATTTATCCTCCCCTGGCTCTCTGTGAAGTTCTAGTTTCCCAATGATGTTATCTCAGGTTTAAGCTTATGCTACTTAAATGGATGCAAATGGTAATTCACTGCTTTTTACATTTGCATTTGCCTAATTACTAGGAGATAGAATAGCTGTTAAGAGAATTGTTTCCTGAAGTGCCCTAAAGGATTTATAAGAAAGCAGATACAGCCAGGTGTGATGAGACAAATTTGTGATCCTACCACTAGAGACAAAAGATATCAGAAGATGGAAAGATCTCCTATGTTCATTGATCAGATTGGTAGGATTAACATGGTGAAAATGGCCATCTTACCAAAAGCAATCTACAGATTTAATACAATCCCCATCAAAATTCCAACATAGTTCATCACAGATCTTGGAAGAGCAGTTGTCAACTTCATATGGAAAAACAAAAGACACAGGATAGTGAAAACAATCCTGAACAATAAAAGAGCTTCTGACGGTATCACCATCCCTGACCTCATGCTGTCCTACAGAGCAACAGTGATAAAAACTGCACAGTATTAGTATAGAAACAGACAGTTTGATCAATGGAATCAAATTGAAGACCCGGAAATAAAACCATACACCTACAGACACTTGATTTCTGACAAAGAAGCCAAAACCATATAATGGTCAACAAATGGCACTGGTCTAACTGTATGTCTGCATGTAGAAAAATGCAAATAGATCCATATTTATTACTCTGCACAAAACTCTAGTCCAAATGAATCAAAGACCTCATTGTAAAACCAGATGCACTAAATCTAGTAGATCAGAAAATGAGAACTAGCCTTGAACTTGACAGTACAGGAGACAATTTCCTGAGCAAAATACCAATGGTTCAGGCACTAAGGTCAAGAATCAATAAGCAAGCATACCTTTTAAGAGGAGTAAAAAGGAGATTTGTGTTAGAACGGGCTAGGATGCAATGGTATATTTTGATTGAGCATGTTAATTAGGTGAACCTAAAAGGGCTTTTGATTGCTAGACTTTAATAATTTGATAGTTGGGCCTTTCTAGTCAGCCTCAAGAGGAGAAAGTGGCCAAATAAGGAAATAGACCTTGGTGACTAGCTTTAGAAATGTAATCTAACAGATTTTTTTTAGCAATGCAGAGGGGATGGGGGAGACGGACAAGACTTGCCAGACCTGGTCTGGCTGGAGTCCCTTCATTGACATTCTGAGTTTGACTCCCAGTATCAGGTAAAAACGCAAAGCATGATAGTACACACTTGTAACCCCAGTGGTAAAGGAGCTAGAAGGAGGTAGATTCACAGGGCTTGCGGGTCAGCCAACCTATTCTACTTGGTGAGTCCCAGGTAATGATAAAAACTGTGTCTCCAAAATCAAAGTGGATGACATCTGAGAAATGATACCAGGGATTGTCTTCTGACTTCTACATGCACACACATATACATTAAAAACAAAGGAAATACACAAAGATATAAATAACAGATGGCTTTAGTTTCTGAAAACAGAGCAACTAACCTGCAACTAAAACCTTGGGCATTTTTTAAAGGGTATTTTTTTTTTCTTAAACTCTAAGGAAGACCTTAAAGAGATGGCAACTGGGGTAGCTCAGGCAAAATCAGTAGTTTGGTTTTATACACTTGCCTCCACTCCTGCAGATGCTTGCTTTAGGTGTACAGTAGAATTCTAGGGTTAGATGCTGGGGAGGAGAGTCCCTGACACTACAGCATGCAGGATACCTGAGGAAAGGCCATTTTCATCACTTTCGACCTAAATGTAGAAAGGGAGCTTCATAAAACCTATGGGCTTTGATGCCATATATGCTTATTTCTCTGGACCTCCCACAGGAAAGAATTTGTGGATGCTTATGTGAATTATATCTTCCAAATTTCGGTTCATGAGTGGTACACAGCTTTCTCCAGTGGCTTCCTAAAGGTGTGTGGTGGCAAAGTCCTCGAGCTCTTCCAGCCTGCAGAACTGAGGGCCATGATGGTGGGGAACAGCAACTACAACTGGGAAGAGCTGGAAGAGGTAAGCTCTGAGAAACTGTGTTCGAAGCCGGGTGGGTGTGCAGCTGGGCAGATGTGCGGAAGACCTGGTCTCCATGTGCTTTGCCCTTGAGTCGTTGCTGCCTCCCAGTGACTTCTGTTGAAAATGCAAGTGATATCCAGTGTGTGCTGTAATGTTTCTCTAAGATTCATTCCCCTGCCCCCTGTTTTGGACAGACTGCTGTCTACAAGGGTGATTATTCAAGCACACATCCCACTGTGAAACTATTCTGGGAAACATTCCATGAGTTCCCATTAGAGAAGAAGAAGAAGTTTCTCTGTAAGTATTTATCACATCGGTGGGTTGTTCATATTTTCGTGTGACGTTGTGTAGGGTGAAGCGATTCACAGGTAAAGGTTAACTTCTAAGTGGCTAAAGATAGTAAGAAAAATTAATTTCAATATATTTATAATATATTAATTAAAATGCACCGGAAGCTGTTAGTACACATGAGAAACAAGAAGATAAAATCAAGTAAAGAGTCATTTCATCAATCTTCATGTTAAGAATAACAGTCACTTTAGCTGGAAACAGTAGTTCATGCTTATAGTCTCAGCTACTTGGAAGGTTAAGACAGGAGGAGTGCTTGTACCCAAGAGTTTAAGATCAGTCTGAGCAACATAGTGATACCCTGTCCCCCTCAAATCTAAAAGGATTGATCTGGAAAGATTCTAGATGAAACTGGGTAAGATTTGACTTATGAAAGCTTTGTTGTGATAGGCTCCTCTTAACGTGCAGTTTGCCTGTTCACAGTATGAAACCGAAGGGGTGTTAGTATGTCCAGAGTTGTGAAACTCTCGAAAGATTGGAGTATGTTCACCTCCCAGAAAGAAACTCCATGCACATCAGCATCACTCCTCATTGCTTCTCTTCACCCAACCCAGTCTCAAGTTTGTCCATGATAGACATTTCTTGCAAACAGAATCATCTAGCATGTAGTCCTTTGGAACCGGCTGGATGACATTTGATTAGGGCAATAGCTTTAGAGAGTAAAGTGAAGTGAATTCCCACGATCAAATCCAGCCTTTTAGAAATGGTTGGATCTTCTATCTCCAGCTGTGTAATCAGCCCCATAAATTAGCTGTGAGTAGAATAGAATTTTATCTGCATGAAACAAAAAAAGCAACTTCTTTGCTAAGAGTGAGCAGACATTAATACTGACTAATTCTCTTACTTATGTGGAACAAGGATGAGAAAAAAACTAGGATCTCCCCCTAGAGCCCCTCTGCCCATGTACATAAGCTATTGAGAAGCAGTGTCGTGGGAGGTGATGAAGGGCTGGGCGGCCAAGTGGATGGGAAAAGCTGTTACTTTCAGGTGAAGCCTTCCTACTGGTCCTGGGCGTTTCCTTAGAAAAAGGCATCTCTAGTTTGAGAACGTTGGATTTCAGGAATTTGTTATCTGTTATTGTTGCTGTGTTATTAATTCTGGAAGGTTGGCAAGAATGGTGGTATGTTTATATGCCTTAGGCAATGGAGGGTTATTTGAAGTGACTGATGAGGGCTGGCACAAAGTACAGCGGCAGAGTGCTTGCCTAGCACCCAAAAGAACCTGCATGCAACCCCCCCAATCCCCTCACCCTCCTCAAAATAAATAAATAAATAAAATAAAGAAGTAGATAATGAGTTTATTCCAGTAATTTCTGGCAGTTCAACAGTGGGAGCAAAAACAAACAGAACAGAAACAGCAGCCAAAAGCATTGTGCAGCTGCTTCGGTCTATGCTGTGCAGGGGAGTTTCGGTCAAGTAACAATGTACCACACTAGTGAACTGCCTAAAGAACAGATAGGTCAAGTCCTCTGGTTTTTGAAAGGAGGGAAATGAGTATGTAGATTCCTAAGAGGAAAGAGTTTTCAGACACCTGAGAAAAGAGATCTTGAGGTCACAGGGATTGAGTTCTCTGCTGGCTGTCTTTTCCTAGGTCAGTAATTTCTTTCCTCTTTGATTTTGGGAAGGTCTGTGAGGACATGCGTTCTATAGAGGCTCTAAGACATGTCTGGTACATATATGTTGGTACCTAAAGAGCATTGTCGTTCCATGGAAGCCTTTCTCTGTTGCTTAGAAGACTGTATACCATTGATGCTATTTCTTCCCCTCAGTGTTCCTGACAGGCAGTGACCGGATTCCCATCTATGGCATGGCCAGTCTGCAGATCGTCATCCAGTCCACAGCCACCGGGGAGGAGTACTTACCTGTGGCCCATACCTGCTACAACCTTCTTGACCTCCCTAAATACAGCAGCAAAGAGATCATGAAGGCGCGACTCACCCAGGCCCTCGACAACTATGAGGGTTTTAGCTTGGCCTAAGGCACTCCAACTTACCCAAGACATCCATCCCTTCCTTCTTCTGTAGCCACATTGAGGCTGATATAAAATATCATGGGAAGTGATTTCTATTTTTTTATTGTTTAAGTGGTTTGAGACTTTTGAATCCTAAACCTTAGTCGAGGTGTTTCTGGGGTTCAATCGTAAATAGTCTTTTTGAAAAATCAGTGGTTGCGGATGAGCCAAAAAATTGGCTTTAGTATGGAAAGTGGATTCAATTTTGTTTTGTTTTGTTTTAAACCAAGGTACCTGTTGTTGTTCCTTCATCTGTGAATGTGTTGCAATCTGCTCGATTTAATGGCAGTAGGTTTTTAGCTTTTGTTTCCCAGATGTCTCGCAGCCCCAGTGTTTCTTCACCATGCTTCGCCGCTCTCTTCCTGGCTTCTCAGTCCCCTACAGGGATGACTTGATGGATATGTCCCTTCTTGCCCTCCATGCAGAGCATTTCCTTTCTCCTCAGCACTGGAAATGCATGGCTTGTTGCAGCCCACCCTAGCCCATAGACGGAACAGGCTTCTTTAGAACTCTCAATTCCAGGAAGCTGAGCTTTATCCTAGCTCACACGTCTTTATGGGAACCTTCATGAACATGCCCTGCTTAAAGGAAGTAGGGCATAACTGCCTAATGCCTGGGCCTCCTGAAACACACACACGCACACCAGCGGCAGGTTACAGGGGGGCTGCATGTGTCTTGTTAGCCATGAGCCCTGGATTCACAGTGAACTGGTAGATGCCCTTCATCATACTTTTGAAATGCAAGTTGCATTTTTTCATTTCCATATTGCCTAAGAACAGTACAATTAATAAAGGTTCCCCCTTCTTTATTACTTTATATTCACTGTTCTCTCTTCCTTCCCTTCCTCCTCGTGTTCCCCACTCCTCCCTTCCTCTTGCTCTCTTTCTCTTCCTCGTCTTCGCTGCTTGAATCTGTTCCCCTCTTCCTTGTGCTAGTGGATGCATGCTGGTTTCCTTTTATTTTAAATTTTGTAAGGTTTTTGTAAACCTCTGTCTCTAACTGTGAAGATATGAAGATGCTCTTTATAATAGAGTTTTTGTTCATCACATGTGAAATGTGCATTTACAGTGATATTTCAGCAGGGGGATTATGTTAAGTCAAAGACGTGTGTCTCAAAAGTGACATGTTTAACTGTTCCTCATTGTATAAGAAAATTCTACATGGTCAAAGAGTTCATGTAATTCTAATTTTAAATCTGTAGTAGATAGAGAACGTATTTATTGACCTAAACTGAAGTACTTATAGATTGTGATGCAGCGCTGAGTCTTGATGAAGGAATGTAGATTTTGTTTTTCCTTTTTTTGTTTTTAAAAGTAACTCCAATTGCTAAATTGTTTGTTCTTCTGTCCTCATAAATATAACATTTAAAAAAGATACACAATTATATGAAATGTTTATTTTCTATGTGTCTGCATATAGTTCAATATTATCCAATAAATTTGGTGTTTTAACTTAAAACAATTTGTACTGTTATTGTGAAATGGACACTATGCTTTCCATGGGAGCATTAAGCCATATAGCCAAAGAATCAAAGGATTTCTGCCCAAGGGCAAAAGAGCCCAATGCTCTACAAGTGGGTAGGAGAGCGATGGGAAAGAATGGGAAGAATGGGAATGGTGAAGGGTGTTCATGTTCAAAAAGCGCAGGAGGGGAATCAGCAAAGGTTCAAACATGGGGAATGACACAGGGATGAGTCTAGAAGAGTTCAGAAGGGAAATCAGAAGAAAGAGAGTAACGACCAATATAGCAGAGCCGGAAGGCGGACCTCAGGGCCCAGAGTCAGAAGGAGGACCTCAGGGCCCAGAGTCAGAAGGAGGACCTCAGGGCTGGGAGTCAGACTTTTTCGAGTGGCTCCTCAGGATGTGTTCGAGAGTTCAGAAATGGAGAGATAAGACATGAACTTGAAGTATGTGGGTGATGTGATTTGTAGGCATTAGAATGGGAAGGACAGAAGCAGAGAGGGGCTCGTAGCATTGAGGGAGGCAGATAGTGCAGATGGAAAAGAATATTTGAATGGTAGAGAAGGGGAGGGAGGAAGGAGAGACACTGAAGTGAGTCAGAACCAGTCATCTCATGCTAATTAGTATTAGCCCATGTACAAAATCTATGTGTGGAGCCCAGCAAGAAAGTATGATCAATAAATTTGTGACATTAGTACGATGTATTGTTTTGACAGAGTTAATAGCTTAATGAGACAGCTCAGTGGGTAAAAGCACTTGTCACCATGTCAAGTGTGACTCGATCCCAGGACCTACCTGGTGGAAGGAGAGAACCGAGCCCTGGAAGTTGTCCTTTGACCTATGTGTGCCATGGCATGCACATGCGTGTACACACACACACACAAATAAATATATGTAATAAAAAACCTAAACGTAAGTAGAAGGGGGAGCAGTAGCTTCTTAATGCTAATATCCATTCAATAAACATTAACTTATGTAGGCGTTGAAAGTTTAAGGGAAATAAATTTGGAACACAAATAAGTTGTTTCAATTTTTTATTGTAAAATTTATTCCTTCGGTATTTTTTGTGTGATAATTTTTAATTTTTCTAATTTTAGGTCGTTCCATTCATCTAAGGAACATTTTTTTCCCTAATAAGCATCTATGTCACAAGCTGTAAGACTTTTATATGTGAACATTCAGGTTTTCACATTTCCAAAGCTGATAAAAGTAGATTGAGATTGTTATCCTTGTAAACAATAACTCTACAACATTACAGCTGGAAGCTAGGCGTGGGAGACAGGGGAGAAGTACAAAGGATCAGGAAATTGAACAGAGGCATGTAGCAGTGGGGGATGGGGAACTAGGGGTAGCCAACAGAAAGTCACAGATGCCAGGAAAGCAAGAGGCTCCTAGAACACAACTGGGATGACATTAGCTGAAATACCCAACAAAAGGGAGATAGAACCTGTAGAAACCATATCCAGAGGTTAGCCACGGATGGGACCACCCACTGTGGAGCAGAGACTAAAGGAAAGACCATGCAGAGACTGCCCTACCTGGGGATCCATCCCTTATGCAGCCACCAAACCCAGACACTATTGTTGATGACAAGAAGTACTTGCTGACAGGAGCCTGATATAGCTGTCCCCTGAGAGATTCTGCCAGAGACTGGCCAACACAGATATGGATGCTTCTAGCCAGCCATTGGACTGAGCATGGAGACCCTAGTGAAGGAGTTAGGGGAAGGACTGAAGGAGCTGAAGAGATTTGCAATCTCATAGGAAGAACAACAGTATCAACTAATCAGATCCCCCAAGCTCCCAAGGACTAAACCACCAACCAAAAAGTACATATGGAGGGACCCATGGCTCCAGCTGCATATGTAGCATAGGATGGCCTTATCTGGCATCAATGGGAGTGGATGTATTTGGTCCTGTAAAGGCTTGGTGCCCCAGCGTAGGGGAATGCTAGGGTGGTGAGGTGGGAGTGGGAGGATGGGGTAGGGAGCATCCTCATAGAAGCAGGAGGAAGGGGGATGCGGTAGGGAGTTAGGGGAGGGGGCAGGAAAGGGGATAGCATTTAAAATGTACATAAGTAAAACAATAAAAAATTTAAAAGAAACATGGCTTTCATATTAGTAGCTCATAGCTTAAGTAACTAAAGAGGATAGTTCAGAAAATTGTTTTTGAAACCTTTTGGAGGTGGACTTTTAATCGTTTTACCTTTAAAAAGAAAATAATAACAAAATCTGTATCCAGGGACAATGCCCCACACATACTGTTTCTTCAGTAGAGGTCACTCTTTTAGAGTACCTTACTAGGTAAAGGAAGCAATCTGATTTCTCACACGGACTCCTTCAGAGGCCTCCTAAGGCACAGCCTAGCTCACACGTGCTTGGTTTCATCTCAGGTGGCTTTTGTTTGGTTTTACATTGGATATGGCTATCAGTTCTTTGAGAACTTCATACACCACATTTTTTGATAGCCTTCCCAAATCTACTCCCTTTTCCCTACCCACTTATTTCTCCATTCTCTTTGTTTTAAAGCTGTGGAGGGCAATTTGTTTTGCCCAGATACTCTTGGATGCACTGGCTCGTTAAATGATACCAACTTTAAAAGTATTTGACTTTTCCTATCAAAGCAGCTATCAAATGCCAATGGTTCCTCGGCTAGGGGCGGGAATGTTGTCCGCCTCCCTACTCTACAACATCGTCTTTCAGCACTTTCAAAGACTGATGGCACGGTACTGATTAGGAGTTGTTTTAGAAGTATCTGTTTATCAGAATAATAGTAGTAAGTTCTAACCTAGGCCCTATAACTTAACTAGTCACAGGGTTTTGGCCCCATCTGCAATGCTGAGTAAGGAGTGAGCTTATTTCCAATCGGAAGTTCGTCATTCACATAGCCTTCATAGCACTGTTGGACTAGTGGGCAGATCTTGCAAGAACAGTCATTATTGCAGCTTTCAGGGTTCACAGCTGGGTGACAGTGATGGTTATGTTTCTTTTCCAAGAGCTTGCATCGTCCTTCAGCACTTTCAAAGCTGACGACTAGGAATGACACTTTAGGATGAAACATCTTAACTTGTCCATGTTCTATAACTCAAATAGATGATGTCTTACTACTAGGATCTTAATAGCAAAAAGTTCTAGAGGGTAGCCAAGAAATTCAGCAATCGCCTGTTAAGTTTTTTTTTTTGGGGGGGGGGGTAAAGGGATTCCACTGGCTAACAACTCAAAAAGAGGTAGCTGATTCATGGTTCTGGGAATTTTATTTGTGGTGTTGTCCCCTGCTATAGGGTAACTGCATTTATTGTCTCTCTCCCCAGGACCTCTAATTAGTTTCCTAACATCTATGTGTATTCCAAAATCAAGTACACAAAGATTTAAAGCTAACATAGAAGAGGAAATGTCATGTTTGTTTTTCTAGGTCCAGGTTACCTTAGAAGGATTGCCTCTGCCTCCATCATTAAGTTATTTATAAATTACATTATTTATTTATAAATTTATAAAATTATTTATTTATATTTATTATATAATATACAGTATGCAATTATATATTTATTGTTATATAATAAATTTGTAACTAATATAAATTTATAAATGATCATTTATAAGTTATATACTTTTTATATTTTGAAACAAAGTTTCTCTGTGTAGTCCTGGCTATCCTGGAATTCCCTTCTTAGTCTGAGCTGGCCTCCAACTCACAGCTCCTGCCTCCTAAATGCTAGGATTGAAGGCATGCAACAGCACCGCCCAGCTGGCTCATCCATTTACCTGCAAATTTCATTACTTCCTTTATCTTAAAAGCTGACTATTACTCTATTGTATAAGTTGTATCACATTTTCACTATCCATTCTCCAGTTGGTGGACAGCTAGGCTGATTCCATATCATGCCTAGTGTATGAAAAAAGCAGCAATGAATGTGAATGAGCAAGTATCTTTATGGTAAGATGCAGAGTCCTTCAGGTATATACCTAAGAGTAGTATAGCTGGATTAAATGGTAGATCTATGGTATTCTCTGTCTCTCTCCATCTTCTGCCTCTCTCTCTCTCTCTCTCTCTCTCTCTCTCTCTCTCTCTCTCTCTC